ATTTATATTGCTTGTAAAATCCAATTGTTGAGGTTAAACTTGATTTAAACATCTCCAAACTTTTGATGGTATAAACATGGTGTATCTTCCCTCATATAAATTAGTGGTAATCTTCCTAGGGATTTCATCATCCCTAGTTGAATGAATTGAAAGTTTGAACCCACTCTGCTGTTCTACTTTCAGTTGGGACGGTGGCATGCTGCAGAAAATATGAAGGTCAAGTGAGAGAGATTACATTCAGATCCATTAGTAACAATCTTATGTGCCCCCCAGGCAGTGCCATGACTGAGGATCAACATTTTGTTTTATCATCCTATAAGAAAAAGCTTGTATGACCTCTTTAATGAAAAAAACTTCAATGTTTGTGATACATATGTTTGATTGATTCTATGTTTATTGAAAAAAAAACATCATTTGCATCTTTATTGTAGATTCTATGTTTGGTTGATTTAATTGAATTTACTCAATTTCTTTCTTCTCGTAGGTTTTTGAAACTGTACAACAGGCACATGATGTTCCGTTTGGCACCTACTTTGAAGTAAGTATTAGCTGGGTATGTTTATTCTTGATTTGGAATATAGTTTTATACCCCACATTTTTGTTTTGTGCAAGGTCACTGCAGTCTCTTTGTTGCCTGTGCAAGCAATATTCTCCTTCTTTCTTATTATTTTCCGGTCTGATTTGGTTCCTCACTCCAATGAATAAATAATTCAAACTCTGATCCCAAAACAAACAAATAAATAAAAGATAACCACGGATTGTTACTTACAACAAAATCATCCTCTATTTGTGTCGTATTCTTTGAGGAAAATAAAGTGAACTTTGATCCATAGAAACAGAATAAATCAACCCTTCTAGTGAAAGCATTGTTACTATTGGATGCAATTTTTGTATATACTACAAAATAGGAAGTGTGTCTGCAACTAACATTAGTATTACACATGATTAATATTTAATCTGCTCCATAATGCACGGCCAAAAACATATCATAACCGAAGTCCAATCAAGTGGGGAATTGTGAGACTCATTATTGCAAAAGGAACTGTCCTTTTGACACACCAGTTCACTTGCTGGCTTTTCATGTGTTTGTTCATAAACTTTCTTACATATCATCCTCACTGCTATTGATCATGCATTTATCTTCACCTAAGCCCAATCAAGAGGGAAGTTGCTGTTCAAACTGTCGGAGTAGGAAAAATCCCTTTGGAACTGACACATTAATTTACTTGCTTCCAAAAATGGACACCATTTTATTTGTGCTGCATCAAGTTCATTGTCAATGGATTGCAGAGACCAATGGTGAAAACTCATCTACTTTAGATATCAAAGCAAGTAAGTTTTGTTCCCTTTAAAGTGACATTTATTATGGTACATTTGGAGATTATGGTACCAAACTACCAATGACCATACAATGAACGTAGCCCTCCGGCATTCTGCTAAATCCAACTCGCGACTTTCACATAGTTCAATCTGAGACTTCCAAGTTGGCCATACATATGGAGATTATGGTACCAAACTACTAATGGCATACAATGAACGTATCCCTCCAGCATTCTGCTAAATCCAACTCGCTACTTTCACATAGTTCAATCTGATTGTGGCTGGGGCGTGTCCCCTTGGGGACATCTTTTGACATTTTTGCGTTGGCTTTATTTTTGCATCTAATCGAACTCTTTTTGAGATATGGCCTTCCAGAGATTTGTGTATCTCATTACAAGTTATACCGACATGATATTAGCTCTTAATGCATGCATCAGTCTATAATGAAAGTAATGAACATCTTCAAGCAGTTTCTGAGTTTGAAAACATGTCTTTTCTTTTCCTCAACATCAATGAATTGTACTAATTGATGTTCAATTTTCTGTAGGTGAACATATTAAGAAATCTTGTGTGATGCTATCAAAAATTAAGTCAGGCGCTGTCGAAGAGGTATTGCTATAGCTGAACCATGGTCTTCATTGATCATATCAACGAATACCATACTTTGAAAACCTTTTTTTTTTCTCCCTGCTTTCGTATTAGCCTTAAAATTTGAAGAGGTTGTCTTTAGTATTTTTACCACCTTTGTCCAGTACAAGAAAGAGATTGAGACAATGTTAGATGTTGCCCGTTCGAATATAGAGTAACATATTGCCAGAGGTGAGACGATAACTCGTCGTCACCACCCTCAGTTACAAACGATATCAGCTAACTCGGGTAATCAATTTCCTTCGATTTTATTGTATAATTTCTTATCTCTCTCATTTTTTTGTAATTTTCTATATGAAAATGTTAGTCATATGTATAGGTACCAGGGTTTTTCTTTGCCAAGGTATAGATTTGTAATGTAACTTAAAAAGGTTTCCAGGGAAGTGTAAGTAGCAGAGAATGGTTATTGTAATGCATTTTCTCAATGCAATAGGCAAATGGCAACGTTAATGTTCATATTTAATGAATAATATCCCTTAAACGTTGCTACTTCTTTTAACCCTTTGATATTTGTAATATATGAATACTTTTAGAAAATGAATATTTTGGAATAAAATTAATGTAAAATTACTGAGACAAATATATGTAGGGATGAAGCTATGCATCGTACCTGGGCATTACTCTCAATTTGTTATTATTGAAAAATATATACTAATATAATTTAATAAAAAAATAGAAGTGACAATGGCCTTGGATGAAACTATGTTTCATCCGTGAAGGATTTATTTTGGAAATTTTGTTTAGAACTTGATATCAAAGTTAGATTATTGGAAGGGTATTATGGTCTTTTCAAAGGAAAGATTTTTTATCCTTCCCCTTTAAATGACATAAGCATGTGGGAAAGGAGAGAAATTTCTCCAGTCTTCTTCAGTTTTCTTCTTCATCTCCACAGTGGGTTCTTGCATAAGGTAAGTTTGTCTTCAGTAAAGAATTTCTTTCGTTTTAAAGTTATATTTTTTTCTTTGGGTTGTAAGAAAGCTTTAGGTGACTTAAAACTCAAAGATGAATAAGTTATGAAAGATTGAAGGTAAAGAGTTTTTAAGTGAATTATTGAAAAAGGAGTAAGTGAATTTTTAAGTTAAATTTGACTTGTGAAGGGTCTAATTAAGAGATATGAAGTGATAGAATTGAATTTAGAACATGTTGAAATTTGAGTATGATTCTGTCATATTCAGGGTAATTCATATTTTGAAATTCAAAATTATAATTAATTATTTATTTTATAAATTATATATATCTTAAAATTTAATTTGTATCTATCTTGAAGATATTTTTTTAATATATCAGTATTTACTCTAAAAATATATATTTTTTTTATTGTCCTCTCGATTTTAAAGCATTGCCTTGACTAATCCATGCTGACTCGCGTTGCACACTTGACTTTTGTGTGTGAGTCTCCCAGTAGGGATTTTCTGCATACACAAGAACTTAAACTCGAGATCTTGCTTAAACGAAATCAAGTTGCTTACCGCCTAAATCAATTCCTTTTGGTACTCTAAAAAATATCTTTAAATTCATTACTAACAGAGGACCCTTAAGTTAATTATGGCTAAATTAGAGCAAACATATTTGACTGATCATGAGTTTTAAACTCACTAGAACCATTCTACTATTCACTAAAGTTTTTTTCCCTCTCTTTTTGATACTATTAGAATTACATTTAGAATTTGTTAAAGAAAATTGTGGTCGAATTAACAAAATGCCGTTGGGAACATGCACCATGTGTGGTAGTACAACGGAGTGAGAAAACTTTGACCTATTAGAATTAACAAAAAGTCCAAACTCTACATTAAGGCCATGCGACAAATATTAGTAATGAAATTTTTAACGACTAGGAGGAATGAGACACCTAAATAATAACACTAGACATTTAAATTGATTCAAAAAAGTATGAATTTAGGGGTAAAGATGAACCAACAACGATGAAGATGAAGATGGGCGACGCATGTTGACATGACAACCGACGACGATGACTGGTGATGAAAACTGACAATGGGCGATAACGACGATGAGTGGCGAGTAGAGACGTTAACTTTGACTGAATTTAGGGGTCATATCATATTTTATATAGAGTTTAAGAGTTAGATTAGTATTTTATGTAAAGTGTAAGGTCAAATTAATATTTTGTCTAAATTCAGAGGTCAAATTAAAATTTAACCATTTTTACCAACAATAAGGACCAAAGATAAAAGTGACTAAAACTAAAACCTTTTTAAACCGGTGACAAAACCTAACGGATAAAAAACATAAGATATCACTTGTATAATTTACCCTTAATAAAATTCATAATAATATTTGATATTTCAACTGTTTAGGGAATGATATTGTGCCAACCCTACCTATGTTAAGCTCATGAATTTTAGAAGTTACCAAAGGCTCGGCTAGACCCGTCAATGTAGTGTCACCTATGATTATTTTCTTGTTACGAAAAAAAATGTTTTATTTTAAATTTCGAGTTCGAGGCATGATGAGTTATATAATATATAGATTCGAGTTGGGATGAGATTATACTTTAGATAAAAAATCACTGATCCAACCCGACCTTATATAAATTGTTAATTTACTCATTTATATTTATAATATATTTAAAGTTTTAGAGGTTTTTTATTTTTATAATGATAAAATATATTCTTTAATAGTAAAAAATGTAATAAATTATTATAAAATAGATTATTTTAATCATTTAAAATATAATAAATGATTACAGATATATTATTATTAAATATATTATTTTAATTATTTTAAAATACTAATATATTATATATAGTTAATATTGTTCAAACCCTGTCTATAATAAGCTAATGGGTTTTAAAAGGGCTCGACCTGGCCCATCAAAGTAGTGTAACCAATGATCAGTTTGTATTGTAGTTTTCTTGTTATAGAAAAACGTTTGACGTTACCTGTTATAAGTTGTCTATCTTCGCTTTCTTTCATATTTGTTCCTATCGTCCTTCCCCAAATAAAATCATCTATTGAAAAACACAAAGGAAATAGAGAAGATAAAGAGGGAAGATGCAAGGCTTGATCAAAACTAGAATCGAATTACCATAGATGTTGGTATTGGAGATTCTCTCAAAGCTTCCTGTTAAATCCTTGACCCGTTTCAGGTGCGTTTGTAAGCCCTGGTCTTCATCTTTTGAAACCCCTCATTTCATTACCAAACATCATCAGAACAATCTCAAAAACAATAACCTTAATCTCCTTCTCAAACACTGTCATGGAGACACCAGTGATGACATCCATTATTTCTCTCAACTTTTGACCGAGAAAGACCAAAACTTTATAGTAAAACACAATATTCACTTACCCTTTTTCGATAATTTTGTGCATGCACCTTTAGTTCTTGGCCTTTGTAATGGGATATTGTGTTTAGTAGAGCGAGTAGTTGGACATAATGTTGCCCTTTGGAACCCATCTACCAGAGAGTTTAAAATCCATCCTCAATCCACAGTCCAACGCCCTCCTGGACTACTGGAATTCTCCAGTTTTGATTGCTTTGGTTTTGGGTATGATTCTCAAACCGATGACTTCAAAGTTGTAAGATTTGTTACTTATTACTTTGAAGAGAATCTAGATGAAGGGTTGATGGTAGATTGGAACAACCAAGTTGAGTTATATTCGCTCAAAAGCGATTCATGGAAGGAAATTTCATTTCCTGAGGTTGATGGTTTTCCTTCTATTATGTTTAATAATTATGTCAATGGGTTTATTTATTTCCAGGCTTTTGCAATTGATAACCGTATTCTTTCGTTTGATATGGTTAATGAAAAGTTTTCAACTTCACCACTGCCTGAATTTGGTGGGAGTTTAGAACAATATTATTTGGAACTTTTGGACTTCAATGGATTTCTTGGTGCTCTTTTTTACCCAAGGGAAGGAACTGACAAGTCTTTTTATTTATGGGTTATGAATGGGTCATGGACTAAACAATTCAGTGTTAAATCTGTTGTTGGAGTTGAGAGGCCTTTGGGGTTTTGGAAAAATGGCTAGTTGTTTCTTGAGAGCTCAGATCAAGAACTAGTTTTATTTGATCCGTCCATACAAGAGCTTAGAAATCTTGGTATTCACGCTTATCAAGAAACAATGCACATTACTTCTTATGTTGAGAGCTTGGTTCCATTGAATGGAAGATCAGAGCATGAGGAATGTATAATACGACGGCCAGCGGGAGGTGAAACAAATTGATGTTCAACACTAAGACGGACGGGGAGTTACAACAAAAGAGGTAAGATTTAATGGGATTTGGTCTCTTCCTATGCACTTTATGTTAACTATATTGTCTACTGATGTTCTCAAGTATTGTTGTTATTGTTTGAAATGTATATGCATGCCCTAGATATTGACTTGTTTAGGTTTCTGTTTGCTTTTGGTTGTTTTAGTGGATGCACGAAATTACGTCCTACAGATTTTCTTAGGTTTTAACTCTGATCTGCAATTCTATTGACCTGCATATCATGATTGCAGGTGCATATATATGATACACACGGAGTGCTCTTCGTACTTGAATTTTCTTCTGAGAGCTCAACGTTCCCAATAGTTGAATGTAATTTGAAGTTGAACATACGAAGTATTGTTATTATTATCTGTACTTTAGATCCAATGAAACAGTGTCAATGTTTTGGTCTTGTTTTGTGTGAAGCCATTGTTAATGGTATTTACAGGGGTAAATGTATTAACACTACTTTCTTGAAACCTTTCCTTCGTGGAATATGTCTGGAAATTATTGTCTTTTTTCTGGATATACATGATAATTCACATGAGCTTCTTTGTGTGATTATAAAGAGTTTGCTTGGTTTTGCATGTTTGTTTTTCCAATTTAAGAGTTGGAATTCCAGACCTTTTTGTGTGTGATGATTTTCACTCCTGACCTCAGTTATTTGTTTTAGAGGTAAATGGATTGTAGTCTTGCAGAGGTCTTGTTTTAGGTTGTTCGTGCTTGGATGTGAGTGCCAAATATGAGTATTTTGATAGTTTTTTCATGTCGTTGGAGGGTCCTTAGAGGATCATATTCTCATACCTATATCCTGAAATGTACGAACACAGGATACGAGATACCTGCAAATCGAATAGCACTTACAGGATACCTGTAGAGATTTTGGACAAATTAGTGCTCATTAATTTGATAGTTTTGCTGAAACAAGATACGCCTTGTATCATACATCACATGACTGCAGAATAAAATAAGGTTTGGCTTGTTACTTAGATCTGTATTTCTCTAAAAATATTCATATCCTATATTTATGTTACTTAGAATCTCATTGCAGGTGCGTTAGTTTATACTTCTTGATGAATCTTTAATGGGAAAACATAAAACAAAGTTGAAAACTATTGTCTCGAAGAAATATATATGGATTGAAAGAGCACTTGTAGAACCTCCAGCAGTAGATTCTACTAGATTTGGCTTCCTTAGTTTTGGGTATGATTCTCAAACTGATGACTTCAAAGTTGTAATATTTGTTACTAATTACTTTGAAGAGAATCTAGTTGAAGGGTTGATGGCAGATTGGAACAACCAAGTGAGTTATATTCCCTTAAAAGTGATTAAAATTGAGTTATAGGGAGGCAGTTGGGGATTCTGATGAGTGATGACCTTATTCTTTCGGTCGATATGGTCAATGAATAGTTTTCAACTTTACCACTACCTGAATTTGGTGAGACTTTAGCACAATACTATTTGCAGCTTTTGGACTTCAATGGATTGCTTGGTGCTATTTTTTTATCCAAGGGATGGAACTAATAAGTCTTTTGATTTATGGGTTATGAATGGATCATGGACTAATAAGTCTTTTGATTTATGGGAAGGAACTAGTTTTATTTAATCCCTCCATACAAAAGCTTAGAAATATTGGTATTCACGCTTATCAGGAAACAATGCACATTACTGCTCGTGTTGAGAGCTTGGTTCCATTGAATGGAAGATTAGAGCATGAGGAACGTATAATACGACGGCCTCCTGAGTCCCATACTTGAATTGTTCTTCAAAGAGCTAGATGTCTACCATACTTGAATGAAATTTGAAGTTGAATATAGGAACTATTAGCGTTGTTGGTATGCTCGTGAAACCAAAGTTATGAACCCTGCACAATGCTACTACATTGGTCGAACATGAAGCACCTGAACTTCCATCTCTCGTTCCACAGTAGGCAACTAGTGCTCACCCAATTCCTCCATAACTTTACATTTTTTTCATATTGTTAATATTATTGTGTATCCAAAATGAAGATGTCTAGATCTTAGTATCAGGGGTGTGCAAAGATCCGCATCCGAATTTTTGTATCACTAAAATTGTGATCCGAATATGATCTGGAATAACAATATATTCGAATTTTCGGATATCCAAACCAAATATATCACTTATTATGTTGCTATCCAGCGGTGTGTGGCTTCGATTATCTTTGACGGTAACCACGCCTTGTGCTCATATTTTTTTAACAAAGTGCTAAAGCAGATACGTTGTTGCATTTGATGAGGTTTTAAAGACTTTAATTCTTTTCCCTGTCCCGTGAAATACTGTTGAAGAGATGGAGCTTAGTCCACTGAAAAGAAATTACACCATTCTTCTGTAGTATTCATAAATTGTTCTTCCACTCTCACTGTTTATCTCCTCATATGTTTCCGAATTCCATCTCGAATGTAGAACAACATACAATATTGTACCAGTAATACACGTGCAATGTCTTAATGTTATGTTATATTGAATTTATAGCTCCAGCAACTCAGTGAGTTCAACCGGCTGACAATATGAAGCCATATACAAGGGACTGAAATAAAATACATAATAAATAACATGTTCGAAATACAAAGATTAAAGCTTCATGTAGTGACTAAAATGGAAAATTGCAAATGTGGAGACCTTTCCCACATGAATAACCCATGCTCTAAACATATGGTCTCTACCTCTCAAGACGGCGCCGTTTGGTTTCTTAAATATAAGTCAAACTTGTGCCCTAAATGGCTAAGAAACACTTTGTATCTCTTTCATCTTTTTCCTAAAAGCAGAAATCACATGCTCTCTCCATCTCATCTTCTCTTCCATCGAGAAGAAGCCGGCCACGACGACAGCCGCCGTAAATCGGCGCCGTTAGTGGAAAACTTCCCTAAAACGAATACTTTTGAAACCCAAATCTCACTGGGCCTCTCTTTGAACTAAAAAATCAAAGATTCAAAGCCTAAAACAAATTTTCAAAGACTCCAAACCCTAAAAACACTCCCTTTTCGAGACCCCTAAACTACCCACACAAGCCTCAAGATCCTAAAAGTGAGGTTTTACCCTCGGGAACAATGAAGAAGCGAAGGCAACCCTCCCTCAAAGGTATCATTTTCTAGGTTTTCTTCTCCTTTTTTGTGGTTTTGTATTTGGTTCGAAAATGGTGTTTCTCCTGTCGATTTTTCTCCCTTGTCTGAAGATAGTGATTGGGTTGCATTTCTCTTTTTGTTTTTTCTTTCTCTCCAAAATTCATCCCTTCTTCGAATCTTCTTGCATGTTATATATATATATGGAGAAAAGACTTCCTTTTCCACATTTGATGGGTCTTCACGCGTGGGTCTAGCTGATGGGTTTAATATGTTTGGGTTTAGAATTTTAAATGGGTTTTTAGTTTTGTAATATTTGGTTCTTGTAAATGTACTTTAATTTGATCCAATGGTTTAAAAATATGTGATTAATCATAGCTGCTGCCAAACTGCATAACATGGGATAATTAAATCTTATATTTTATTAAATTACATTCGATGTTTGGGTTTGAAGGGCTGTAAATTATTGATGCCTAACTTCTGAACTGAAACAATGTGTGTGCCACCACTACAAACAAACAGAATAAACTGAAACACATGTGTATCCCACTTAAAACAAACTGAAACAGAAACACAACACTTTTAATATAACAGACTGAAATAGAAACTGAAACAAGTTTGATGCTACATTTACAATATAAAAAGGACTAACCATTGTCAATATTATACACATAGTGAATGTTGATTGTGAGAGTATTGATTGTAACAATGTTGTTGAATTATAAGTTGGTGGTTATTTTGGTGATTTGTTCCTTAGTTCTAGTTACAGCTCAACCCCCCATACATTTTTATAAACTCAGTCTCCAATGGCCTCTTGCTGTGTGTAATTCCGGCAGAATGGCTTGTGGTACTCCCATCCCGACTGTCTTAACCATCCACGGTATATGGCCTCAAGATGCCAACGACGTTCCGATTCCCCCTACAACGCAGCCACTAATCCCTGTTACTCCAAGGCACCCATTACTGACAGACTAGTTCTTGAGGTAAGCATCTCATCAACTTTTTTATTTACTTTTTTATTTACTTTTTTATTTGTATTTAAATTTATATATATGATCTAAAGTATATTTCTCTAATTTAGACTACTGCATTTACTCCAATTGAAAGCAACTTAATATCATTATGGCCAGACTTGAAGAACCCTACTCAACCGGGTACTGGCTTTTGGAAGCATGAATGGTTAAATCATGGAACATGTTCTGATTACCCTAATAATCCTCTTGATTACTTCAAATCTGCCTTAACAAAAGAGCTAAAACAAAGTTGAAAACTATTGTCTCGAAGCAAAATATATGGATTGAAAGAGCACTTGTAGAACCTCCAGCAGTAGATTCTACTAGATTTGGCTTCCTTGGTTTTGGGTATGATTCTCAAACTGATGACTTCAAAGTTGTAAGATTTGTTACTAATTACTTTGAAGAGAATCTAGTTGAAGGGTAGATGGCAGATTGGAACAACCAAGTCGAGTTATATTCCCTTAAAAGTGATTCAAGTTGAGTTATAGGGAGGCAGTTGGGGATTCTGATGAGTGATGACCTTATTCTTTCGGTCGATATGGTCAATGAATAGTTTTAAACTTTACCACTACCTGAATTTGGTGAGACTTTAGCACAATACTATTTGCAGCTTTTGGACTTCAACGGATTGCTTGGTGCTATTTTTTTATCCAAGGGAAGGAACTAATAAGTCTTTTGATTTATGGGTTATGAATGGATCATGGACTAAAAAGTCTTTTGTTTTATGGGAAGGAACTAGTTTTATTTGATCCCTCCATACAAAAGCTTAGAAATCTTGGTATTCATGCTTAACAGGAAACAATGCACATTACTGCTTGTGTTGAGAGCTTGGTTCCATTGAATGGAAGATCACAGCATGAGG